ACGATAGCAGTGGGGTAAGTTAACAAATGCTTTTTCATATGATAAGACTGATTAAAATTTTCTTTTCCTTTTAGTCATCAACATCATCGTGTCGTCTTTATCATCGTCCAACATGAACAACATTGTCCAAGATCAAAGCACGTGAGTAATTATTTCTTTTTTTTTTTGAGAAAGAGAATAGGGTGAGAGAGGGATGAGGTCACATATTGAGATTGAGATTGAGAGAGTTAGGATCAGCCTTAGCATAGAAAGTGCTAGTGCGGGAGGATGAGTCATGCCCATTGAGGTGAGATCTCCATTATTTACAGGCCTTCCAGGTAGATCCTAAAAACCCGACCAGGAACAATCTTGATGTCCGTGGCACACGACCGGACTTTCACCAGACTCATTGACATATCTCTCGAGTGAGAGGGACATGAATGATTTTAGTTTGTCCCGTCCGTGCATTAGCGTTACGCTCGCCACGGCTGCTCCAAGATGATTCCTGGTCGCGCGTGTGCGAATAGAGTAGACGTTCTTTTTATCAATTAAAGTGATTTATTTGAGAGAAAGAGAAGGAAAAAATCCATCGTAATGAGTTTATTCGACTGGAAAACGTTGAACACGATTATTTTCATGATCGACGACATAGAGATTGCCATATCGATCGCAAGACAAACCCTGAAGACCGTTGAACTGATTTGCTCCTATTCCTTCACCATTTCCACCCACAATGACACTGCCTTTTTTCGCTCCTTTAGGCCAACGCATCACTCGATCATTCACTGAGTCTGCCACATAGATGGTACCCAACGTATCGACGAACAGTCCATTAGGACTTCCCAATTGTGTTAGAGTATTCCCTTTGCCTTGACCTCCAGCGACGACAATTCCTTCTTTTGCACCTTTATTCCATTTCATCACACGATGATTCCTCCTGTCTGATACGTAAACAGTCTGTTGTCGATCGACAAAGATGTAGATCGGATAGTTCAGTTGATCGAGACTATCACCTTCGCCATTGCCACCAGCCACAATAGTTCCCTTCTTGTCTCCTATTTGATATTGTCTTACTTCATGTTTGTCGGTGTCAGAGATGTAGAGATATCTCTGATCATCCATGGCCAATCCTGCACAAGCGATGTTGTTGATGAGGATTTCTCCTTCAGTTGTGCCACTACGACGAGACCATCGTACAACTCGTCTATTCATCGAATCACAAATAATGAGGCTATCCGTCTCTTTATCGATCAATACATCGCTTGGCCAATACAATTGATCCAATCGATTTCCATAGCCATGACCACCAGCTACTACTTGTCCATTCTTATCACCCATCTTCCATTGCATGATACGATCATTGCCCCAATCAGCGATGACCATCGTTTGATCATCATCGACGAAGAGACCATGAGGGTGGTTGAGTTGACTGGTGGCATTGCCTTGTCCATGGCCTCCAGCAACACTCACTCCATTCGGTGCCCATCGGGCATCGACTGGAATATTGGAAATTACTACAATGAACAAAAAAGAAAAGAAATCGTCGTTGTGGAAGAGATCCCGTCTCTTATGGGAGCAAGCGATACAAATATGATATTCATCTTTGAAAATGCTGGTTCCGCGGAAAAATATTCAGAAGTTTTTTCTTAGTTTCCTATAAAAAAGAAGGATTTCATAACGATTCCTACATCTAAGTCACTTTTAGTTCTTCCCAAGATCTTTTTGATCCTAAAAACAACACCTGGAGATTGCTGTAAGGAGATTTGTCCGAAAAAGAGTAATGCTAATTCCATGTGAGCTTTTGATAGAAAAACATAGAGGTCTGAACATTTTATTCGGAATTGCAAGAATGTAGAATTTTTTGTAGGATGATCATCTATATGAACATCAGACAAGAATTTAAGTAATGAAATAATGAACTATGTGAAACTCCTAAACTGAGAAAATCCTGAGAAGATTCTATTTGCATCTTGTTAGGAGGATGCCAAATCTTATTCCTGTTGTTGAAGAACCTTGAGAATTCAGCATGCATCTTTGAGAATGCTTGTCATAGCATAGGACAAAATTCCCGATCATATAATTTTCTGGATGATGATTGGAAATCTAGGGAAGCATCTCCTTAACATTGGCATAGTGCATGCATGTAAGATTTCATTAGACTTTGCGTGCAGAGTTATTTCTAACACTTCGATGAGAAAACTTGACAGGATCCAGATGAATCTATAGAATTTGATGACTTATAATTTTGAAATGCTGAGAAGAGAAATGCTAATCTAATCAGAGCTGTTCATAGGATAACATATGGATATGTAGATTTTATACGTAATATAGAACGCATGGATTTAAATTAAATAGTCAGAATTTGTTTTTGATAGATGCATAATTGAATTCTTTGCAAACTTGTATTTACCTTCATTTAAAACAACATGGAAATATGAAAAAAAAACATTTCAACATGTAAATAAACGATTGAATCATTAAAATGTACTGTTTTACAAACTTAAAATAGTCGATATACTAAATTATTCTAAAGAGATAAAACCCTCATGATACCTTCAAGCACTTGAAATTGAACAAAAAAATTCATAAAAATGCGTTCTTTTTTAATTTTAACATTTCCATCATAAAATTTATATTCATATT